GGGGGCGGGGAGGGGGCAGGCGCACGCGCCCCAGCCTCTCGGTGCTTCCAGGTGAAGCTGCCCCCGCAGAAGGAGGTGATCACGGCCGAGGAGCTGATGGCGCATTTGGGTGAGCTCCCCGGGGACCCCGTCACCCCCGCCCCGCTGCCGGGACGGCGGCGCGCCGCGGTTAACCAGCTTGCCGGGGGCTGACGGCTCTGCCTTGCAGGGGATTGCATCTTGTCCACCCAACCCCGGGAGCCGTCGGAGGGGCTGCAGCTCAACTTCCAGCAGGTGAGGAGCGAGGCCGCCTGTCACCCAGCCCAAAAATTGATCCCCCCTGTCCTGGGGAGCACTGGTGGCCTTGGGCTGCAAGACCTGGGGGGCCAGCCTGCTTCCCGAGCAAGCCCCTCTTGTTTCTCCCCCCCCAGAACATCAACGACACCATGACGGTTCTCCCCAAGCTCTCGACGGGGCTGGACGTCAACGTGCGGTTCACGGGCGTCTCGGACTTTGAGTACACGCCCGAGTGCATCGTCTTCGATCTCCTCAACGTCCCTCTCTACCATGGCTGGCTAGTGGACCCCCAGGTGAGCTGGCCCCACGGTTGTCCTGCCGCCTGGCCGGTGGCTTGTGTGGGTCCAGGGACTCAAGGGAATGAGCCGCGGGCTGGTGAGACGCTGGAACAGGTTGCCCGGAGAAGCTGGGGATGCCCCGTCATTGGAAGCGTTCAAGGCCAGGTTGGACGGGGCTTTGAGCAGCCCCATCCCGTGGAAGATGGCCCTGCCCACGGCAAAGGGGGGGTCTCGAGGATCTCCGGAGGTCCCTTCCAGCCCAAACCCTTCCACGACTGGTCCTTCCCCACCGCGGAAGCCACCAGCTCAGCTTCTCGGACGTCCCCGCGATGGAGAGCGGTGGCCCAGCTGCTTGGGGAAGGTTCAGACTGACCCGTCCTCCCCCTGCCCTGCGGTCCTCACCGCCCCGGCCCTTCCCCTCCCTGCAGAGCCCGGAGCTGGTGCGAGCCGTGGGCAAGCTGAGCTACAACCAACTGGTGGAGAAGATCATCACCTGCAAACAGGCCAGCGACTCCAGCCTGGTGAGCGAAGGTAACGGCCCCCTGCCGCCCAACCGCCCGCGTCCCGGGGTCCCCGGGGGGGGCTCGACGCCCTGGCCCCGCTCCCACCCCGCTCTCGTCACCCCAGGGCTGATGGCGGAGCAGTTCCTGGAGTGCACGGCCTCCCAGTTGACCTCCTACGGGCTGGGCGAGCTCATGGCCGCCGTCAGGGAGGGCGAGCTCAGCGTCTTCTTCCGCAACAACCACTTCAGCACCATGATAAAGCACAAGGTGCGGCTCCGGCCCCGGCCTCCTTCCAGCTGGCGGACCCCCCCAAAACGCTGGCCGGGGCCGACTGTCCCCTCTCCCCTCTCCCCAGGGCCACCTCTACCTGCTGGTGACGGACCAGGGCTTCCTGCAGGAGGAGCGGGTGGTCTGGGAGAGCCTCCTCAACGTGAGCGGGGACAACAGCTTCTGTGACGCCAGTTTTCATCTCAGCCACGCGCCGGGCAGGGAGGGGGCTGCCGCGCCCCCCCCGGACCACCGGCTCCAGCAGAGACAAGTGGACCAGGTAGGGGACAACCGGTGGTGGCGGGGGACACCCGAGTCCCATCCCAGCTCCGGGGGATGCCGCAGGGTTTGGGTCCGCTGTGCTGAGCACCCCTCTCTTTTTTTCTCTGTGCCCCCCAGGATTATATGATCGCCCTGTCCCTGCAGCAGCAGCAGGGACAGGACCCCTCCGCGCTCAGTGACCTGCAGTTGGCTCGCCAGCTACAGCAGGAGGAATATCATCATCATCATCATCAGCAGCAGCAGCAGCAGCGCCAGCCAGTCCCAGTGCAGGTAACCAGGTGCACCCTCCTGGGACTGCAGCGCAGGGTGTGGGTGCTTCTCACCCCCTCGCCCCCGTGCTCTGCCCCAGCGGGCGGTCCGGGGGGGGCGGCGTGGCCCCCCGGGATGACGGGGGGTCTCTGCGGCTCCTCCCGCCCCCCCAGCCCCCTTCTTGTGCCCGCAGGGCCGCGTGC